ATTAATTATGTAATAAGAGGCACCATTTATTTTGAAATGTATTTTATATCACAAACGCGAATACCATCAAACCCGGGGCTTTTCTTATCATTCATTGTTTTAATAATTTTGGTAACATCAGCATCCGTAGCTTTTTTATTTTTACGGTTCTATCTGGATTAATTTCATAGGAAGGGGGATCTAAGAGTGGCTTATTACAGTTTAAGCATATTTTTTTAACATTTTTATCAAATTCTAAGCCAAATTTATTTGCTAATGTTTTAGGATCGATATTAAATGTTTTTGTAATGTATCATGAATACAACATATTATTTTACCAGTTAAATTATTTATTAATTTCCAAAGTTTTATTGGATTTCTAAAACTTTCGCAAATTTCTGTTTTAGTATTTTGATTTCGTAAAAATTGAGCATATTTATTCGTTTTATTTCTATATTTATTGTAATTTAATCTTTTTAATGAATTATTGACATCTTTCTGCCAGATTTTAAATAATTCATCGCGTTTTTTACACATATATACTAGTTTCCTATTAGACCACTTACAACAATTGCGCTTACTAATAACTACAGTTTTTGTATACTTGCGTTTATCGTATGCGTTATTCATTTGCGTCCTTATGTAATTAACAATGTCGTTTGGATCAGGGTAACTCAACGGCAACTTCCAATCTATTAAATCGAGTTCACTACGAAGTTGTTTATTATCCAACTTAGTAGTGAGCTGCGGCGCGTTTTGAGCCAGTGAGTCACAGTTCGGATCCGCTCCGAGTCCGAGAATCGCACAGCTTATTATTTTATGGTCAGCTGGCGCGATATTCACACCGGCCATATACACCTCGTTCTTGCATACAGTTCTAGTCAGAATCTGATCTAAACCTGATTTTGTTATTCGGTTCCCGTATTTTTCTATTCTTGTGTATTGCGTTATACCACGGTCAAATCCTAATTCACAAAGTGTGTTAAAATAACTAGTGCTAATGGGATTTGTCTTCTTTGTATTGAAGATCATGTCACCCCTAATTATACAGCAAATTTTAGGTGAATGTTTACCAACAATATTAGCTAACTCATCAATAAAACGGACTTTGTTTGTATCAGGTGGTCTATATACAGCACATAGGCCTACAGTGCCGTTTTTTAAGTTTATTTGGCCATTAATACATTCGCATTCCTTAGTTGATATTTGAAGTCTGCTAAAATGCAGGGATGAGTGAACATATAGTATAATGCCGCCACCTTTTCTGCCATTTCTTAGTTCGTAATATAAGTTATAATTTATTAAATTAAACATGTTGGCACAGTGATATTGAATATTAGCCTCATTAACTATGATTATGTGAATTATGTGTGTAGTATTTTTATTATATATTCCAGATGTGCAAAATTCTTAAGTAATGATGATATGTTTACATGAAAAAACAGAAGCGAACAATTATTTAAGGGTAGTTTGTCTGCAAACTCATTCCAATTATCACAGTTTAACTCAATAATGTTGGGATTTATATTATGTTCTATTCCCACAATATCCATTCCATTATCTAAGGTATAAAATGATATTAACTGCTAATTTAATTAAACTAAGATTATCTTTTAATTGATATAGTACATGTTTCTTTGTTACTTACGGTTTCAGATTTTAAAGTTATCTTTTTAATAGTTAAAAGTTATTTCAGACATTTATATTTCATAAATAATTTTATTCTTATATTTTATCGTTTGTTGTATATAAAATTATATTGTGTTCAAAATTATGAATAGTATAAATTTATGTACATATTCATAATAATGATTAGATAAAAAAGAAATCCTGTACTATAAAGGATTAATAGAAGCAGCCTTTTTCAATCAACTTTATTGAAGGTTACCTCACTCATAAATGTAACGTAGATAATATAAAATATGAAGCGATTGGTCTTTTGAGAATTTGTCAGGTGGTGATCTATTTAATTTCAAGCTCACCGCTCCATGATTAATGACGCCTCATCGAGACCTCCAGTGATTCGATAATATGATTTTATAAAAAGCAAATAACTAACAATAATAATAATAAAACATTTATTTATTACCATCGATAAAGTTGCAGTGAGAAGTACTAGGTAGTAGGAGTCTTTTTTTCCTATTCCGTCTGTGTAGGTTCCACCCTCTTATTTATTTCTGGCTCCAATAAGCATCGCCTGCATTGCTGTGCGTAAAGGGTATAATTAAGTCCAGTATAATTAGAGTCAATTTTTACAAATTCAATATTTGCTTTCAGAGGTCAAGGCATCTTTGTTTGACGTCACCACTTACCATCAGGTGGCTGGTGGTGGTCAGTAATTTGCCGCATATTCGGCGCCTAGGCCAGAAAATCAAACACTCATATAAACCAATTTAACGGCCTAAGTGCGTAATATTTTACTTTGCTCCACCTTTAACCATGTTACGGTCGAAAAGGCTAAACGACAAGTTTGCTGCGTAATAACAAAAATCCATATCTTCTGTGACCTTTGCCATATCTGCGCTCCTCTTCCTCCGCTACTCGACTGTATTAACAAAGGGCAGGGAGAGAGGATATCCGTCTATCCCTAGACATGGTAAAGTTACGCTGCAGATATTATAATTGTAACACAAATGAATCAGCTCGACAAGAAATGACCACACTTTCTTGGAATACCAGCATAAATTAGCAACTCTTTTTTATATCATTAGGTGACAAACGTAAGTGGATGCTGTGGCCCATAGAGATCCACATTTATCCTCGATTAATAATAAATTAATAATAAATAGATAAAGGCGACCGCTCAGACCCGTCCAACTACCGGCCTATCGCCATCACCTCCTTGTTCTCCAAAACAACGGAGTCCATTGTAAACTGCCAGCTCATGAAGTACCTTGAGGATCACCAGCTGATTAGTGACCGCCAATACGGTTTTTGCCGTGGTCGGTCAGCTGGTGATCTTATGGTCTACGTAACTCACAGATGGGCGGAGGCAGTAGAGTCCAAGGGGGAGGCATTGGCCTTCGATCGGGTTTGGCACAAAGCGCTTCTTCCGAAGCTTCCTTCCTATGGGCTTCCCGAGAAATTGTGAGATTGGATCACCAGCATTCTTGCAGATCGGGTCATCAAGGTCGTTGTAGACGATGCAAGCTCCGATTGTAAGCCTACTAATGCTGGTGTTCTACAAGGTTGCGTGCTATCGCCAACGCTGTTTCTTCTGCATATCAATGATGTGTTGCAAACCCGTAACATTCATTGCTATGCAGATGACAGCACTAGTGATGCTTTTTACACCGGCCGAGCCAATATTTCTCGGGAAAACGTCTCCGAGTGCCGGGACAAACTTGTGTCTGAAGTCGAGTCTTTGTTGAACAGAGTCTCCAATTGGGGGGCGACTAAATCCAGTTATAAACTAGGCCAGTTTAACCCCCAGAAGACACAAGTTTGCGCGCTAACCGCTATAAAGAACCCCTTTGTCGTATCTCCTCAGTTTCAAGGCACTCCCATTGTTGCCTCAGCCAGTATCGGAATCCTCGGCGTCGACATATCGAGTGACGTGCAGTTTCGTGGTCACTTGGAAGATAAGGCCAAATTGGCCTCTAAAAAGCTTGGCGTGCTCAGCAGAGCGGGACAGTATTTCATGCTGGCACACCGCATGCAACTTTACAAGGCGCAGGTTCGGCCGCACATGGAATACTGTTCCCATCTCTGGGCTGGGGATCCCTAGTACCAGCTCCATCCACTTGACCGCATCCAGCGCAGAGCGGCTCGAATCGTCGACGACAGAGTGTTTTCCGATCGGCTCGATTCACTGGCACTGCGAAGAGATGTTGCATCTCTTTGCATTTTCTTTCGCATATACCATATACCATTTTTCCGGACCGATACGACCTGGGGACCTTCAAGAAAAGAGCGTACTCCTTTTAAAGGGCCGGCAACGCACCTCCAATTCCCCTGGTGTTGCGGTTGATCATGGGCGGCGGTAGTCACTTAACATCAGGTGGGCCGTATGCTCGTTTGCCCCCTCTTCTATAAAAAAAAAATGGGAATGCAGGTGCGTTGTCACCCCTGAGGACTAAGATGGAATGCCCCAGTTTCAGTAAAAAGGGTATCCAGGTATCTACACGCACTGTACGAAACATAGCACAATTAAGCTGCTATTTTACCCTGCCGTTCTGTGAGAGTGTGGTCCTGCCCCGGTTGAGCGACCCATTCGTGCTACATCTATAATTTAGCAATGGCTCTACTACGAAGATAATTCATGAGGATGTGTTTGTAGATAACTGGAGACGCTTTTTACTGGCGTTCAATTTTAGTCCTCAGGGGTGACAAAGCATCTGCATTTAGATTTGAGGATAGATGTAGATATTTGTGGGCCACAGCATCCACCTACCTTTATTTGTATTATGATTTCGTTTGTCATCCTTATTATATACAACTACACAATCATAAAAGGTGGTCTACCATCTAGTAAAATATTACATAAAAACTGTTATTCTTTTACACTAATTAAATTAAATAAATTTATGGTACAAAGGTGTTCGCATAAAATATGTATTAATGTTCTGAGAATGTAACATATTTAAGTAAAATTAAACATGCATCAGTTTAATTTTCGATATTAATCGTTTAAAACACGATCAAAGAACAAACAGCGTTTCACAGTCAATAGAAACTTTCTTATATTTTTAGCAGTTCATTTACGGAATAAAATTGTTTTTCCAAAAGCTACTTTAATATATTAAGGCTAAATCAATTATAATATAATTGCCTTATTTCATTTGATATTTGGGAAAATATGTAAACTAAAACTTAAAGTATGTAACTTGAGAGCGATTGTCAAATTTCACAAAGACTGTGTCACCGTGCTAAGGGTATTCGTAACAAAGACTCTTATTTAAATCCGAGACTATCAACAATAAACCACGTTTTATAATAAAACTCTTAGTTTATATTGCAAAATTGAAATGCGTCTCTTAATATACAGGTTAACCCGCTTGTAGATACATTTAGAAATTTTTATGGGCTTAACCCCTTTGTGTCTTAAACTTAACGGTAAGCGCGCTTTTGAAGAAAGTACATACTTACCAAGCATGAATAATTATACTGCTATGCCACGAGGTTAGTCCTACCCCGGTCCTGATTCATTAACTTTCTGCACGTCTTACCATTTTTTATATTATACTTGTTATAATTAGATCCTTTGGTAACCTTTTCGAATAATAAAGTAGGTAATTTGCTTAGTTTGCTAGCTAAGTTTGGGGATGCCTGTTAATCCTAAAAAAAGTAATGATAGTTTATTTAAAAAAATTATCTATCAAATTGGCGATTTATTGAAAACGGACCAAATTAGGAGTACCCTTAACCGACGAGCATGTATGCGTAGGTATATTAATGTGAAGGAGACGAAATAGGTGTGTCAGGATCGTGCCAAATGGAAATCTGTAGTCTCTGCCTACCCCTCTGGGTGACGGGCGTGAGTGTTTATGTAATTATGTTTATGTATATTTATTTTTATGGACTAAATAAATAAATAATATGATACTGCTTTGTAAAACTTTATAAAACATAAATGAAATCATGCAGACACTCCAAAGATCATTTCCAGATTTACGACGAATCGCATAAGCATTATAAAGCGTGCCTCCCATAAAAATAAGGCCATAAATTGGACTAAACGTCTAAGCACCAGCATAATGAATAAATTCTTTACGAGCAAGTCTTGAGAGCGACAAGAGAGTTTGAGATGCTAAAAACTTTTTAAACCCTTTTATTAGCTTGACCTGTATCAAACATATCTTTACTTAATTAATTTTTTATTATTAGTAGTAAGTATAATCATTAACTCTACATCACAATTTTAAATTGTAATTACTGTAAACATTTTAATTAAATTCTCATTATTTCTAATTAAATACTCATACAAGGAAATCATCACCAATTTCTAAAATTTTAAATATAAAAAAATAATAAAAAAGTGTCAAAAGTTTTAAGAACCGATGTAATACAATAACTGCCATGCAACCACGATATAATACAAATTGAAAGTTATTTTTTATTAACCACTGGTAATAAAACACAGGCAACCGTGATATTACAATACTAATGGGTTTTTCAACAAGAACTTTGTTTTTCAATTGGGGCAACACCAACAACATGACAGTTTTGACGTTTAGTTTTTTGGCCTATTCGAAGTAGATGCTTTGACAATTGCTACAATGAATTCAATTTCGCTCGAAAATCGCATTAAAATAATTAAAATCCACTATGAAAATGGTGGTTCTGTTAAAGTTACGTTTCGTAAAATTCGTGATATTTTCGGACAACATAATCGTCCTTCTGAGACCGCTATTAAGAATTTGGTCGCTAAATTTGAATCGACAAAATGTGCCAGTGTTCGACCGGGTCGTTCAACCGAAAACATCGTAGCCGTGAGCCACAGTGTTGAAGAAGATCCAAATTTGTCAATTCCTCGTCGTTCTCAACAATTGGGGTTATCCAAAACCACCACATGGCGAATTTTGCGTAAGGATTTGGCTTTGAAGCCTTACAAGGTTCAACTGGTACAGGAATTGAAGCTGACTGACCATTCACATCGCCGTAGATTCGCTCAATTCATTCAGGAACAGCCCGCTGGTTTTTCTGAAAAAATCATTTTTTCAGACGAAGCCCATTTTCTCTTGTCAGGGTACGTCAACAAGCAAAATTGCCGCATTTGGGCTTATGAAAATCCTAAAGCGATTATTGAGAAGCCTTTGCATGCTCAACGTGTCACTGTATGGTGCGCTATGTGGTCTGGAGGCGTGATTGGGCCGTTTTGGCATGATGAGGCTGGAAATGCGGTAACGGTCAATGGATCACGCTATCGCGAGATGTTAACATCTCAATTTTGGCCTATTATTGATGACATCGATATCACAAACATGTGGTTTCAACAGGACGGTGCCACATGTCACACAGCCAACGAAACGATCAATTTATTGCAAACCAAATTTCCCGACCGCATAATTTCACGAAATTCAGCTGTTAAATGGCCAGCCAGATTGTATGATTTAACACCACTGGATAATTTTTGTGGGGCGATGTTAAGGACAGAGTCTATATGGAGCCAATCGAATCGATCGCGGCCTTAAAACTCAAAATCCGTGACGTTATTAACGAAATAGACCCGCCATTTTGCCAAAAAGTGATTAAAAACTTGGATGAAAGAATCGACATCTGTCAGCGTGGTCGTGGTGGACATTTGCCAGATATCATTTTTCATTCAGAATTGCCAAACTTTTCTCTTCGTAATACAATAAAAATTTGAATCATCTTCATCTAAACTCTTTGTTTTATTTTGTTTTAGAAAACAAAGTTCTTGTTGAAAAACCCTGTAATTGAAAGTTATCTTTTTTGTTTATCACTGGTTTAGAAAATACCTCTGCCCTTGAAAGAAATAGCAAGAGGCAGCCGAGTTTTTTGAAGTGAAAACTTCTTTAGCGTCGATGTGATTTGAAACTAGATGAAATGAAAAAAATTACACTACAAAAAAGACAAACGTATACGTCTATAGGATTTAGCCTGCGTGAGAATGAGATAGAATACAGTGTAGTAAGCGACTAAGAAGGTTGTGGATTCGAATCCGCCATTCGATTATTTTTATGCTTACCAATAGCTGTTAAATGAAATTTTACATAGTAATGTTAATAGAATTGCTAGTATTTATTTAAACAGTGTTTCCTATTACTTCGAACTCCTAGTTGCATGAAATTATAACTATAAAAATAAACAGCTGAAAAAAACAAATCTATTAAGTAAATAAAATTACCCATATTAATAAAATTATCATATCCAATTCATTCATATATATATATATATATATATATATATATATATATATATATATATATTAAAAGACATATTTGTGTTTATGCCTTGTAGCGCCATCTTGTGAACCACTTTGAGAGTCAATCAGTTTATGTTCGATAAAATTACTTTACCTATAGAATGAAGTACGTGGCGCTACTACAAAACAATTTTACTGGAAAGAAAATATTCTTTTGTGCTTTTACACCAAAATGAAGTCTAGAAATACAGATTGTTAAATTAATCTGCTATAAAATGAAATCGTTTGCCGTGAAATACTTTTCTTTTATATTTTATTTCGTTTGAAATTTTCACTTCAATAGCGTGTGAACTGCACACATATTTTTTGTAAACATATCATATCACTTTACAAAAATTTTGTAAAAATTTTAAAATGAATTTTAATAGAATCTGAATGGTGGCGATCACCGCATTCCCAGGAGTTATTTTCATACATGTATTCCCTGATATTAAAATTTTGAACGTATTTTTTTTCTGTAATATAAGTTTTAAACTGTTTAATTCACACACATTTTCCCATAAACGAATTACTAATTCTGTGGTGTCTAGTAACTGCAAGTATAATTACAAGCTTATGTTTTTAATACAAATATTATCAACTAAACCTGTCGTAGTATTTTATTCCGTCTGCAAATTTATAAAATTTCTCAGTATCAATTATTTTAAAATAAATAATCTAAAATTACTGATCTTCGGCAAACTTGGTCTTCAACTTTGAGCTCACGCGAAAAGCGGAGGCTTAAATTGGAGAACGGTGCGCGCGCCTCCTGATTCCGACGTAATGTCTTCTTCTGAGACAAGTTCCCATACTAGCCACGTCCGAAACTTAATATAAATTTTTAAACTGCTGAGGTGAAAGTTTGTTTTAATTAAAAGTAAAAAATAAATAAATATACAGTCTATATACGTCCCACTGCCGAGCACAGGCCTCCTCTCATTTCTAAAAGGGTTTAAGGGCGAGGAAATCCACCGCGCTGCCCCAATGCTTGTTAGAGAACTTCACGTCTTCGAAATATTTTTTCTTATTTATCAAACAAGCTGGTTTCTTCACCGCTGAGCATGTGATAAATCAGCATCTAATATTGCAATTAACGCTTTCATTGGTGCCGGTGGAGACCGAATCCGGGTTGCTCGCGTATTGAGAAATTTACGAGTGCAGCGAGTGCTAACTATCTGAGCTAATACGGCTCTTTTTATTAATATATTTTTTAAATTGAAGTGACGAAATAACTTACAGTAAACCTGATGGAAAGCGGCTACAGTAGAAACTGGACACGTGAAACACTGCTATTTTGGGACAAATATCGATAAAAAATTGACCTACCCAGATCGACTCTTAAGCAGAAATTAGTCATTTCACCAAGTAATTTCTTTGTTCATAAATGAGAATGTGATTATTTATTGTAAATAGTTTTCTTAATTTACTAGAGATAAAAACGAAATTTCATACTCTCATACTTAAAACACAGACACTTTAATAAATATTATGTAGTATAGACAGTTAAACGATGTCTTATTATCGAAAAAATATCTTTTTAATACTACGCACAAGTAAATTATTGTTGAGAAATATGGAAACTGATCGCAAGAATCTAATAAAAGGCGTATTTAATACACAAATAATTGATGTTAATTAGTGTATGAAAATTGACTGATGTCCTTGTTGTTCGGTGTAACCATCAGCTGCTATAGTGTGAGTTGTTGAATTAAATAAAATACTTTAAATAGCAATCAACTATTCTAGTAGTGCAGTAGCATGAGTGATGTAAGCAGACTTAGGTTGCTATGGAGCTACCGCGGTTCCTCATTATTTTTGGCTTATAGTAAAGCGACTATCATTTTGTTTCTTTCTTCTTTTATTATTTCAGTTTGAAACTTTTCACTAAAATAACTAAAGTTGCATTTCTCTGTACAAAGTTAAAGCTATTAGAAATTTCCGCTTGCTCTCTTCTGCTTATTAAATATTTTAAAAAATTTAATTTATCAACTTGTACAAAATTGCAAAACACAGAGTAAAAATGTTCGTAGAACAACCAGCACTGCAAATGCAGAATAAAATTATACCATAGCGCCATATTTTAAGCTGTGTCAAATAAATATTACCCAACGAGTCGCCCACTGGAGCGAAAATTGAAAATAGCTAAGAACGTGCAGATATAAAGTGGATATAAAGAAACCACAATTTTATGGACCGTATACATTTTTTTTTGAAAGACATTTGCAATTTCCTTTTTGAAAGACATTTTTTCGGT